TTTTCCCCCGGGCTGGTTCGATTTTCAACAACGGCACTATTTTTGCGAAACTTATCATTAGATTACGGTATTCTGACCCCCAGACGGTGGAGTTATCTGTTTAACTTTAACCCAGTTTTTTATTTAAAAATTGCCGATCTCGTTGAGAACCGACCCAACCCGGGGAATACTCGGGTAGTGTTTTTTTCTTTTTTATGGAGCCATTTATTTTTTCCTTCAAATTTTGCTCTCAGTTTGCTTCCATAGGTGTCTCTGCATTGCATTTTTTGCATCTTATGGCAGTACCTAAAAGCTACTTACTTAGTTTTTTTTTCTTGATATCGATCAACTCTCTCCACCGCTACTTGTGGGTAGGGTAACATTTGAAGTCGGCAGTACCTGAAAGTCAGTTTTTCGGTATCGATTAACCTACCCTCCCCCACCCAACACTCCTGCTAGTGTGGGTAGCCAACGGCGATTGTAATGGGCTTCTGTTGGTTTTCACTTGGCCCACACGTCCACGTCGGTCCGTCATCGATGAGTCGTCGTAAGATCGCGGCCCTGCAGTATTGGAACGTACAGAATGAGAAACAGCTGCGCCATTCCGAGGTCAGTCGGGCGCAGCGGCGGCCACCACCGCGGACATTCCTCCTCCGTGGTTGTTGAAATGATCGCTGAGATCAACCGAAGAAGTGGACGACTTTCCTCACCTAAGTCGTTATTGCATCGACAGGGTCGCACGTCATCGAGGTGTGCACAGGAGGAGTGGCTTGACATAACGATCTCAAATTGACATATTTGGCGCGGGACCTTGGGACAGGCGATAGCGCGGAGTCGTTATTACAGAATATCGAGAATGGTGTGGTCGGGATGGGCCAGAATGGCAATAAAATAGGATTAGAGCAAAACTCACGCTGATTCGTAGGTATGGGTAAAGCTACCGTTTTCAGTGGTGAGCATGACCCTGAGGTACACAGTGTTTTCCGCAGCTGTACCTACCGTAATTGCAACACTTGTGGCATCAGATAGCATCACGAGCAGCAAAAAGCACCTGTGATGGTGACTTTTTTGAGGACATCGCGGCTCGTACTACAGGGTCCGCAACTACGACATGTCCGGCAGCGGAATTCAAATCTAAATATACCTGGATCGATTAACTTTCTTCAGCAAATAGGTGTCCTGAAGCGCTTCTGAAATATCTGAAGGGTTTTACATAGCAGAAGAAACTTGGTTTC